GATTTTTGACAGCTTCAGTACTACTTACTTTCACCCAAAAGTTCTCTGCTTTTGTATTTTAGAATAATGAGTGAATGTAAAATATCTTGTACCTGCTTTATGATCTGTAGTAGTGACTGTGCTTTATCAGAGCTATTTTTAATGATATTACTCTAGAATGTTCTCTTTCCAGATGATGATTAAGATGCTAAAAAAAAAAAAAATGATTCCAGGTACCACAACAGCAACAGAACTTTGCTGTTTTCTGGATATGATTCTTTTCTTTTCTTTCTTTTTTTTTAATGGAATATGCTGAATGTCTATAATTTTGTTCAGTTGACTGCAGAACCTAGAAAAGCTGTTGCTGCTATTGATGCATAACTGTTATTATTGGTCTTTTTATATAAGTGTATATATATATATATATATATATATATAAGTTGAATTTTTGGAAACTTTAACTGTGCTGTCAACTTTGGAAAAAGTTATCCCAATTTACTGTGTTGAATTGGCATTGTACAGAAATTGACAGCCATATTGGTCTAGAAATGTTAATTTATTTTTATTTTATTTATTTATTTTTTTCCATTTGTAGAGGGGTAACACACTGTATTAAATATGTAAGGTCATATCTACCTGGGTTTGATTACAGAAACTAATAACATATTCTCTAAATAATGAAAAAAAAAGAATAAGATAAGACTACAAGAGCAAGAAGCAATTTAAATATGTTCAGGGACCATTTTCATCTCCAGAATTAAGGATTATTTTAATCTTACATCATTGCCTTTTCTCTTTTACTTTCCCTTTTAGTTTTATTTTAGGATTCCCTATTTTTAATGTTCATATAGAGATTTCTTTAACTGAAATACCAAATAGTTTCTCTGGTGTGAAAAACTGTAATAGTACACAGGATCCTAATGCGATAATTAATGTGAAATTGGAAGTAAAGGGCTAAAGGTATAGGGAAAGTGGGAAGGGTGGGGAAAAGGTAATAAGGGAGAGGAAAAAAATATGAGAAATGAAAAATTGGAAATAAAGTGTTTGTAAATGGGGAGGGGAAGAGGGGGTGAAGGGAGGGCAGGGACAAGGGGAAAAAAATGAGAATCAAAACCTATCATGTAAAGGTACAAAATCTCAATGATGAACGTAACTGTACTGTATACCTAGATTGTATCAATAAACTCAATAAAAATAATAATAAGGATTTGGGATGTATTACTTTTATGGACTCCCTTTCCTACTCTTGCAAATAATTTTTTGAGATGTAAATACACTTACTAAACCTTGGCCATTAGCTTACTTCTGAACAAAAGAAAGTGAGACATAGAACTACAACTTATTTAGCTTCACTCCTACTGACATATTTTGTGGAATGTAACATAAACTGTGTCTTTTTCATATATAATTCAGTTGGTTATGGGGAAAAATTCACATGCTTATTTAATAATTCTGCATCCTAGAGCTAGTATTGGTTTCAACCTTTATGCCTGTAATTAGTAATTAAAATTAAATCAGAAGGGCTCTTTCTTAAATTAGAGAAATTGTCTTCTTGGCCAATCAGAGCTTCTAACCTATATCACATTTTGGGTCTTGCAAATTCCAAAAATTCTGAATGTAGAAGTGATACATTAGTTGTCAAATTGCCTCTGATTTTGTTTAACGAGTCTAACAAATCTAGCACTCAAGTATACAGAGACATGACATTCTTCAAGTTTTTGAAAGACAAGGAGTTTTGGCTATCAACCAATCACTTAACCTATTTTAGATTGAGAGAGTATATGTCATCAGAATGTATCGCTGCAGAAGATTGGAAGAGAATACAGGCAAATTAAAATGCTCACAATATGAATTCATTTATTTTTTAAATAAACTCTTGCCCTAAGATGCATAAAAAATGTTCTACTATGTGAGAACTTTCATATTTTAGTCTGTTTTACATTATATAATATATGGCTTACACTGTTTTTATGACTTATGCTTTATTTTCACATTAAGGCAACTCAGATTTCAAAAATAATTGGATAATTTCAAGACAGACTTGCCAAACTCAGCATTCAGAAGCATGCATGCTCACTTGCACACACATAGGCACACTTTCAATTTACCTTAGAATGAGGATCACCTTTGTAGCTAAAATGTAACTGTTCTTGTTTTTAGATTATAGGGGAAAAGGTATATGGGCGTGATTGCTGCCAAGGGCTGGCAGCCTCTGAACAGCTCATCACTCTTAAATGATAGAAGTAGAACTGCGCCCTTCTGAGAAAAATCCCTTCCGTAGCTTTTACTTCGTCTGTGCCAGGACAAATTGTGTGCTAAGTTGGAATAATTCTGAGGTGTGAGACACCTCCATGACTGTCCTTGGAATACCAAGAAGCTGACATCCCTTCCCAAAGACAAGGTAGAATGCCCCTGCTCCTTAATTGATGATTTACTGTGCTTTCCTCTAGGGCCACAACTGATGATCTGCAAGCTTGTTGAATTTTGAGGCAAATACTAAATATAATCAATATATAAAAATAAAAAAGAGTGAAAAAATGCAATGAAAATTTATGACCTTAACATTCCTTCAGGGTCAAGCAATTTATCAAATTCTCTCACTCTCTGGTTTCAATTACACAGCCATTGTGGAAGGAACTTATTTTAGCAGGTTCATTTGCCTCAGTGGGGAATACAGGACTTTGGCCTAATGCTTCACCTTTAGTGCAGGCCATCTGAGCCTTAGAACAAATACCAATCATCACTCTTTGGGAAAAAAGAATCTGAATCGGCGTGGCCTATTGGAATGGGGTTTCTGTCAAGGTAAACGGTTGTCGGCAATGACTGTGGTAGAGTGGCGATAAATCCCATTTTATTGCTGAAAAATTCCAGCTTCTCTCCATGCCTGACAGCTCCCCACATTCTCATACCCATTTGGGCAATTTCTGCACTATGTCCATCTGGTTCTCATTACCTCCCAACCTGCCTGTGCCTGAGCCAGAAAAAGAGCAGGTCAAAAAGGGTGGGGGAGAAACCAAGGTGATGGACAAAACAGAAAGCAGGGGGTGGACACGGGGGTCGGGGCAGAGTTGAGGAACAGTGGGGATAGCAGGAACGCTAGCTAAGGCTCTGAGTGGTCACTGGAAGGGGCCTGTAGATATTTTAGAGAATGATTTCGATGGAGCTGGAGTCAGGAAGCCAAGGGAACCTTAGGCTGGAGCCTTAAAAAGACACCTGTTTTAGAGAGAGACAGAGAATGAATATGAATGTTACAGGTATGGGAGGGAGGTGCCAGCCAGGATCCAGTGCAGTTTTGAAAGAGCTAGGAGACTACATACACAATTAGCAGACGGCTAAATATGGGGATTGAATGTGGCTGGAGCGTCAGCTTTGCTTCACAAATATACTTCTCTGACAAAGGGAAATTCTAGGACCTCAAACATCATTGTCTCCATTTGTTTCTCTAAAAAGATTGGTATTTTAAAGCTAACTCATTCTAATCAATTAATTTACGATGGATTCATTCATGGAGCGACAGGACTAACACTGAGTCTGTTGGGTATTTGTAACCTTATATATGATCCTTTTTGGAATTGTGGTATATTTATGCCTTCAAAAAATTGACCTCATTCTCTGAAAATCCTTTTGATCATAATTACTTTTCACCTAAAATTACTGGGAGCAATTAGTTTTTATATGATAGTTCTTGGGAACAAAACCAGAAACATATATAGCAGATATCTGTAACCAGATATAAACAGTAAGCTTGCTTAAATAATTAGACTAATTACTAGACTAAATTAAACTAAGATAAGCCTGTAAAACTTCATGTAAAATTTACTTCTTATTATCATTATTCTTTTGAAGTAATGCATGGGGATATTATAGCTAATTCTACTATAAGATTGTGGGAAGTATATGGAAGTATAAATGATGAAGATCTGAGACTTTTAATAAAAATTAGAATTAGATGAATGGATACACAGATGGTAGTTATTTTATCACCTGATCTAAAGTCAAATTTTGCATGCAAATATCCTAAAGCCAGGTACAACTGTGTATTAAGTGTTGGGAAGCCATGGCTTGTTGATTTGCTGACAGAAATCTGGGAGAGATATGCTTGGATAGATAATGTGTTTTACTGTATTCTGGATCTCAGGAGTACCAAGGGCATTTCAGGCCTCAGAACTCACTTCTACAGTCAGACTCCCAAGATTGCTGTGAATATTTGCTTTTATTTTTTTACTGATTGAATTCTAACATCAAAATTATGTTTAATCTTAGTTGCTTAGCAAGGCTCTTTAGACAAGAAATATTAGCTTCTAATATTTGAGATTTAACTTCTCAATTTTTCATTCATGAACGTTCAAAGGAAATTCCACAGAATGTTCCTGAAATTGTTAGTGGGCACCACACAGACATTTAAATGGAGAAAAAATTATTGATAGAAATTTAAAATTAAAACTACAGGATAATTTGCATTGAGGTTAATTACAAATGATAAGAAAGTTTGTTATTTGGTAACTTTAGATAGACTTTAGATAGGTATTTTTAATCAACATATACAATCCTCAAGAATGCAATTCCATGTGAACATATTAAAAGGGACAATAAGCCTTCAGCTAATGTCACATATCTATTAAAAATGATCTTAATAGATGGCATTTCTAATTTGGAAAGTAATTGCAAGTTCTTAGCTAAGAAGAATTTCAGTTGAACTTTCCTTTTCCAGACCATACACGTATCAGAGAAATGTGATTATTTAAATGCTAGAAGATGTTTGTTTCTTTTAATAGCAGAGAAGAGAATTAATGGCATGGGAGGAGGAGGGTGAGGTGGCAAGTTAACTTGATGCTTGATAGCTGTTTGCTTGTAAATGTGGTGTCATAGTTTCCAGTGTCCTATGGAAGCAAGGGAAAGAAAGAAACTGGTGCATTCCGGTGGCTTTTAGGGGGCTTGAGACATGCAGATGAAAGTCCCTGAAAGACTACTGAAATATTTACAAAACAATTCATTTACATTAAGCTTTTGTATACATAAAATCTGAGATGCCTACAAAAAGACTGAATCAACTTAGGCTATTAGAAATATTTTGGCATCAAAATGGTTAATAGTATTATAGCTTCAAAAGAGCCTATTGGCTCACCCTCAAGGATGCCCTGCAGTAGTTGTTAAAGTCATCAGATGAAGCTAGCCTTCTCAGCTAGCCTTTAGATTTGTCTGCTCACAGTAAAAATACTATAATAAATCGGTAACATATGTTGCCAAGCAAGGAAAAGTGATATAAATAAAGAGACAAGGAGACCCAAACCAAATTCAAAGTGAAAAGAATTTAACTTTCAATCTAGTTTCTGGCTAATTACCATTTGAGAAGTAATTTGAAAGTGTTACTGTTATTTGCTTATATGCTTCCTGTTTTTCTTTTTTCTCTTCAGATTGCATTCTTACCCAAATACTCTCCGTGATTGCCTGCTTTGCGGCTTTGGGGTAAGTCCCAGTTTTCCACAACCTTAAGAAAAAAAATGCATAACATAAAAGATGCCAAAAAGACTTATGTGTCCTGATGTGTGGGTTTTGTGAAATATACATGGATCTGTTGGGGAGGGAGGAGATAATGAAGTAAAGAGAAGGGGTTTGTTTTTGCAAGGATCAAAAGTGTATGGAAAGTGTGCATATGCAAAAGAGGCTCCCATCAGGAAAGCCACCTCAGGAATGGAAATGACAAAGCTTGGAACACACACAATCAATTATATTCACTAGCATTTAAAGTATAGAAAACAAAATCTGCTTTGGGAATTGACTGAATATTTTATTTAGCTTTTTTTTTATTGAGACATCCTTTGAAAAATGGCATAATCTAAATACTTTTACAAAGCAACAATATAATCAATCTCTAAACTAGAATATAAATCAAGGATTTCATTAACTGCTGGTAGCCAGTTTAAATTGTAGTCTTGTCCATAATGTCTATCTATCTATGTAAGTCCAAGTTATATTAAAAACCTTTAAATGGCTTTGTAATATCAGCTACATCTAGCTATTATAATAATTAATGGTACTCTTTTATAAATCAATACATGTATTCTTGATAAATTCATATCCAGTTAATGGTGTAATTTAAATAAAAAATTAATGTAATAAAGGACATACAGAAAAAGGCAGGAAATCTTTAAAGGTTAAGAGACAAATTTGTCTAAATTCATTTTTAACCTGTTTTGGAAAAGTTTATATTTAAAATCAGCTGAGATTTACCTTGTTTCTGTGTTAATGAATCTTGCAATTTTTGGGGTTATATCTAATATTACATCTGTAAGATATTTTCATTTTTAGCCATTAAGGTTTAATTACATAGCTATGACACTATGGGATATTTTACAGCTGTACAATTTTTTGATTATTGAATATTCTTTAGAAAAAGAGAATGGAACAAACTAAAACCTCATACCAGTCATTTATTTTTAATATATAAATCAAAAGTAAATGCTTTATTTTTTTAATAAAATGAACTGCCTGTAAATCTCCAAAGCTATGTACAAATTTTATTTAAGAGGGAAAAGAACTGATTAGTTCGATAAATTTGAATGGGAAAAAGCCCAGCATTTTCTTTGCTTTAGCCTAGTGAATATCCCAGGAAATTTAGAAAGAAAAGAGAAATACATGGAAGAGACCAAAATGTATTTTCATGCTGCATAGGGATAAGAAACATTCCAGAGAAAGAAGAGTGTATTATTACTCTAATTTTAAAAAATGCATACCAAAGGCATATTAAAGAATAACAAGATTTAGAAAAACAGCTGAAGGTTGTATGTTACACAAATACAAATCAAATCCTTCTAAATAAAATCTCCTTTCACATATAAAGCATTTTACAAAAAAAAAAAATCTTTGAGAATCATGCAGCCCCGTTCACCCTGCCATCCTCCCTGACATGGTGCAGGAATGCTCCTTTAATCCGCTGAGCTTTTTCTGACATTTTTCTTAACATTGCTGAGCTTTATTTAGAGCAGCAAAGGGGATGTGCTCAGTTTCCTTTAACACTGACGGGTGTTTCAGAATGTTACACGAGAGACAGAGAGAGAGAGAAAAAAAAAAAGCAAAGAGAAAGAAGAAAGGAAAGATTTGCTGCCAGTCACTTCATCAATAGGCTCAGGGGCAATTATTATTTGTTAAAAGTTTACATTTCAAATGAAACTAAATTTTAAAGAAGCTTCTTTTTGTTTGTTTAAAGCTGGTGGTTGGGAGGGGAAAGAAGAATACACATTACTGATATACATTAGTGATTCCACGTTAAAGTGCACTCAAGTACTACAACCATTTAAAATGTATTGTGTTTCTAGATGAAACTCGCAACAAAACCACTCCTGAGAGGCTTAATTTAGGTTTTATAGGAGGAACATAAAGAAGACCAGGTTACTGTAACATGTTGAAATATGGGGTACATTTTAAATATCTTCATTTAAAAACATATGTTTATTTCCCCTCCTGGGATCAGTAACGTCTGTCTCGACAGAGAAAGCAAGTATATGCCACATTCTTAAAAATTATCTGTTGAAGGGATCACATTCCAAGACAGGTTTGAGCATTTTTACTACTGCAGATAACCTCTTAATTATGTCACTGCTTTCCACTTGTTAATCAGGGACATTCAACATAGTTAACTATGGAATGGTTGGCTTTAGAAGAATACATTATTATTAAGGATCAGAAATACAATCTATTCCTATCATATTGTCACATGTGTGACATTATCATTGGTTAAAAACCCATTTACTTGCTTTAAATACATAACACCTAAGGAAGAGACTAGATGCCTGAAACAGTTTTGCTCATAACCTCAAATTGTGCCGTCCATGGAAAGCTTTAAGGAGCAGATCATTTTCCTTCTCCTGCCTCCTGCCTGTCCCACACAATCCCTATTTAAGACAATTTTCCGTTTTTTTCTGCAGCCACCAGCATCTGAGATACTCATATACTCTTTCAGAGAGCAGGGGGAAGTGGAGTAAATAAAAATCACGCTTCACTGTTGCTTTATCAACCCTCCTAGGTAGTTTTTCTGCCAGCCAACCTGCACTGTTAAGACCCATAAAATTATGCAATAGCGACTTCCTTGGAGCTTCTCTAATCAGATAATGGCAGGTGTTAGGAGAGAAGGGCCCAAGGCAACGTTGCTGGCACTTAACACTGTGGTTGGTCATTACTTGTCTGGTAGAGACCAATAAACAACTGATTACTAACCTATAAGGAGCTAATATTTTACATTTATCCTAGTTATTTTTTCCTTTTCTCTTTGATTTCTTTTAACAGCAAGTATTTGTCAAGAAGATCTATGAGAAATAGCCTCATAGGCTTCTTAAAAATAACAATTTTCCTAGCATGAAATGATGCCTTTTGTGGAAAGGTGAGAATGATTCTGGCTTTTACAAGAAGAGAGGTTCGATTAGCTTAAAGTTCATTTCTTTCAAACACAGACACGTCTGGACACCCTCCAGCACTGCTCCCCTCTCCCCTACCCCTCTTCCCTCTATGACAGGTTCACAGGCTGCGACCAAGGAGTTTTAAAATGCAAATATTTATATTTGAGCTCTGGCAATAACAGGGCCCTTTTGCTTCCTCCGTAAGCCAGTGATAACTGATGTTTCATATCTGGAACTATGTTTCATTTATCTCTTCACATGTGAAGATAGTTTGTAAATAAAAGGTAATTTATGGAAAGGAACTGACCACTTGAAATAGTAATCTTAAATTTGACTGTATAATCTCTCAAAGCTAGGGGAATCAGGGATGTAGAATTGTCAACTTTTAAGGAAAACTTGATTATGAATGGAAAATTTGTGCATTTTTTAAAGCGTTTAGCATCTGAAAGCCTGCACTGGTCAAAAATATGAGAAGGATTAAAGGAAAACAAGCAGAGAAAAGGTGTGAATTTTACGTGTGTTTTTAACTAATGCATTTAGTCACATGTGTAGAATTCTTGTTATAAGTTCACTGACTTTATATTTGAATATAATTTTTTACTAACCAATGCACACTGCAAAATAGCGAGTCTTCTAACACGCTTTTCCTTTCCAGGCATCCTCAGTGTAGAATAAACAGAGGCACACCCATAAGAACTGGACCTTGATTTCACAGCCTCATACAAAGCCAGGCAATTCTTGAGCCAAACAAACAAAGGGGGTATAAGTGATTTCATTTATTTTGATAATCCTCCTCCTGCACAGGAGCATTTTGCTGTCTTTGTCAAAGTGAATGACAACAATTTGGCCAACTCTCTCTGAGCTGCACTCAACAGTGACAGGCAAATTATCAGAGGCCCTGCACTTCTTATTATCAGAGGAGAAGCCATCAGGGGGACGCATGGAGGAACTTCTCCCTTGTCACTATTTGTCAGTGGGACAAGGGCCACTGCTATGGGTAGCTGACAGGTAATTTCAACAATAACAATTACTCCTATTACTGGTGTCATAAACAATTCGCCCAAGGCATGACAATAGCAAAGCTTTATAATTCAATGCCATATAAATAAATGGCAGCAGGTAACAAGTAATTTAGCTCCAATCAAGCTTTCACCTTGGCATTAATATTGTTATTGCAAGAAAATGGAAAATTGAAAAAAATTCAATATGTTAATGAATTAAGAGAAGTTAAAGGGCTCGACAAGGGTTAAAAAAAGAAAACTCAAATTTTTATGGTATCATATTTGGTGACAAACCGGGGTGCAAATAGCAGTATAATTACTTTCAGACAAGCAGGGAAAACCTGGAGTGCTGCTGCCTTAGACTCCGAACTGGGAAAGATATGACATGGCCTTTGAGAAAAATCTGCCTCTTTCCAATTTCTGAAGAATATAAGTAGAAATATGAGAATCTCTACATAACGTAGCACTTCACTGGCTCCTTTTCCCACCTGGAATATTTCATGAGGCAGAGGCATGAGAGGAACATTTCCATCTGTTTAAGGAAATCGCATCAGCACCTGCTTCCTTTACACTTAGTCTCATAATGAAACTATTTTAATTAGCCTTGTTTCTGTGTCTAGGGTGGAGGTAAAACTAAGAGTCGTCGTTGCTCTCTAGCTGTCTACCTCATGGAAGTGGTTTGGGGCATACAGTCCGATCTTTGTACGCAAAACTTCCCGAACAAACCAATTTGTAATTTTAGTATTTGTCCAGCAAGACAATGTGCCATCACAGTGACAGCAGTAAAAGAATTTGAAAATCTTTAATTAGGAGAGCTGCAGAGCAATTAACGCATGTCAAATTTCACTTCATCAAGTGCCACTCTAATTTTCCCTCGAAAAATTAATGGATTTTTTTCTTTTGGTACGTGTGTGTCCCCTTAAGGCAATGTTGATTCAAATCTGCTCAAGATGCAGTGTTGCACAGCTAAGCATCTTCTTGATTACAATCCGCCACACTCCTAACTGCGCTCATTCTCACTGCCACGGATACTTTGTCAACAGTCAAATTACACCACGCTGATAACAATGCA